GAGAAAATGTTCGCAACAAACTGTTGTTATGCCATGGAAATTCAAAAATATCTATTACATTTTCAAAATCTCGCCTTGCTGCGCATGTAAACACACGCATTTGAAGCTTTCAAAATATATAGTTATAAAGCTTTAAAGACACAGTTGGAACAAAAACTTATTAAAATTGAAACGGCCTAGTTTGGAACTAATGATTTTCTTGAAAATCCGCCATTGTCCATTGATTTTGCGTCCTCGTTTCACCGACATCGTATATCAAAATCGAGCTTCAAATCAACAGTAATCATGCAGTATTGATAAATAGTATTCACTCAGCCTAGACCTAGGCCAACCTCGTTCCCAGGGTATTTGCTCTTGGGAAGCAAAGACCCTGGTGGACGCTGGTCACGTGACCCATAGAAAATTGATAGCCTCAGAGGGGGATGGAAAGGTCTCATATTACATGTTTCCACTTCCGCACTTCACACTTCGATTGCAAGGAGTGGCCGTGCTGTACAATAATCTTTGAGAATCATATATTCTTCAAAATTCTTGCTAAATTGGTTTCTGTTTGCCGTTTTAAATTATACAAACATGGTAAAATTTCATTTCATACGTACGTTTCTGTCCTGGCTCTGCCTCTGGTTCAGATATTTACAATATTCTTATAATATGCCATTGAATTGTTGTCATATAGAAAGGAAACGGTATAAATTTTGTAAAATAGAGGTATCAAAAGCGACTGACAAAATTGTTTGGAATCGACACTCGACAGTGCACTTTTTTGTCTTCACGACTACCTGTTTGTTGAGCCAAAACATTGCACAGAATCTCCTATAATAAATTATAGCTATCGCCATTCACCCTCCCACCCTGAATGCAAAGGAATGATATCCGAAAAGATTTAGCAAAGTATTTGTTATTATATCTGGTACGAAGTGTCCCTATACGTTTTATCAGGGATATATATTTATATATACATAATTCATAAACTGTATATGCGCACCAAGTTTCGCTCATAGAATTACTTAATGAGTTTTATTAAGCCTTTTAAAGTTTCTATTGATTGCTTACAGTTACGAAGTATCGTTTGGTGAAACTTCTAAAATTTCAATTACAGTTACGACACAGTATAGGGGTATATACGATAAAGATTAAAGACTTAAAGTTGATTTAAATATTGATGACTCACAGCGGCATTATACAAGTCGAAAGAAGCTGGATTTTAAGTTGGATTATTCTTCAAATAATGCCTGGGCATTAATACCAATGCCAATGAAAGGTCTTTATAAGATTTATAATGTTTACTGCAATATATGATATAATTTAGTCTAGTGCATATATCGTCCTAGATATTCAAGTTGTACCGCACGCACCGAGGAGTCTTGGCGTGTGATAACAGTATACTGTAGCTGTACTTCGACATATATCATTCTTGATCGTTGAGCTGTTTCAGCAATGTAAATAAAAGGAATAACGGGTTTTAATCCTGTGCTTACTGTAATTCACAGTCAAAACAGCACTATTGTTTTTATATACACAGTTGGCGATGTTCAGTACTTCAGTTGGGAAATCAAAGGATCCCGTTATAAAATAAATCCTTTGTTTTGAATATCGGACAGGATACATTTCAACTATAAACAACCATATCATATCGTTCGTTTTATATAAATACCGTTTGATCGATCAGTCGGTGTAGAAGATATCAGATATGTATGTTTATACGGCGATCTGATGCGTGCTCACTAGCCAGGCGCGTGTGGAGTATATTTTTCCTTGCAAGTGAAATATGATCCAGCTTCTCGCTTGAAATGTACCGCAGCACTTATTATTGATGACATTCAATATAGCAGGAAATCTTGTCATGATGAGTACGAATTTAGAACAGTATAAATCATGTTTATTAATACATGTAAAGTGAAGTATACAGCACTAATGCATCTGGCGAATGTCAACTACTACATTCCCACCCCTCCCAGATTGACAAAACAACGCTAATTAAAAATCTGCTAGATTTTAGCAGATCACGTGACCAGCGTCCACCAGGGTCTTTGCTTCCCAAGAGCAAATACCCTGGGAACGAGGTTGGACCTAGGCCTTCTATTTTTATTTATATTTTTTTAATATTCAGCGCTTTTTCACATGAAAAGACTGGGACTAGGTAATTTGGGGGCGGGGCGGAGGAAGGACACAAGCCTGACGCAAGCCATCCTCGGTCCCAGGGCCTCACGGCTGACACTGCGTTGCCGGAGGCCCTGGCGAAAACCAAAACCGGAACTTCAAAAATCTTGTAGTTTGCCGGAAGTAAACGTAATAAAATGCTGACTCTGCATCTTTTTTTGCAAGGAGTGAACTTTGAGAATTTCTCGAAAGAAATAATGTTTTACATGCAAGATAAACATTAATTTGATCTGGATTTCACCATTAAATGTTTTAATGATTGACCAAATCAGTAAACTAAAGGATCATGTAAATGTTTCAATTATGAAAGCTGTTCAAGTTGATGAATCGAAGGATACAATGTGTAGTTTGGGAGAGTCATTGTATACGGACAGCAATCAATTGGAGAACATGAAAGTTTTTGAATTTTTATTATAATCGACGAAATATACAGACAATTTAAAAGCGATAGTTGTGGACGAAGCCCAATCTTGTTACAGCTGAATAGAGTGAATGGTGAGTGAGTGATACTGATATATTTGGTTGTTTCTCAATATTCTTTCTTTGCAATGGCTTATTGCATTTTTTATCCGTACACCCCCTGTTGAGGACACACTGCATAAATTTTCCTACCCCCCGGATTTCCAAGTAATTTTTTGTCAGAAGCCCTGGAAAAATGTGGTTTGTAGAAGGGGGTGCCTGGAATTCCAATTGCGTTTAATCAATGACCCTTGGAAATTCATTTTTTTCCGCATGACTCCGGAATTCCATTGTGAATAAGTTGATCTCCCCTGGAATTTCCGGTTCCGGTATCATTATTTTATCCCCTTTCCCGGAATTTCCATGTAAATCTTATTATTTTAACCCCCACCCACTGGAATTCCAGCGTTATTTCGACCCCCACCCACTGGAATTCCAGGTTGGTTTGACCCCCACCCACTGGAATTCCAGGTTGATTTGACCCCCACCCACTGGAATTCCAAGTTGGTTTGACCCCCACCCACTGGAATTCCAGGGTTAAATATAAAAGGCATCCCCTGGATTTCCAAGGTCCTCAACAGGGGGTGTACGGATAAAAAATGCAATATGCCAATATTATGGTTATCTGCAAGACTGTACACATACAGACAACATGTATTCTGTTTAATACGTCTGGTCTAAACGCTGCATTTTATATGTGCCAAGTCTAGAAAAGTTTGTTCAACCTTTTAAGTGCTACCAAATTATTTTACTCAGCTTAACATGCCAGATGATTGAGTGTACTGGTCAATGTGAGAGTGCTACTGCTCAATGGGTTAATCAGATTATTTATTGTACTTTACTGTCTTACTGTCTAATGTCAGACAATTTTGCTCATCAAGGGGAGAGTGGGTATAATTGCAAAGTAATTACTTTGCCACTTTGGACAAATGTATAAGTTACATATGTTTACTATGTACCGGTATGTACATAAATTCAACATTTAAATCAAAATGTCAAACTTTATTATTTGAGTCAAACTTTATTTATTTGAGTCAAACCATGTAAATTCACATTAGATTTGGCACATGTAAAATGCGGTATTTAGACAGAGACAATGAGCATAAAAACCTGAAATATTATGTGCATCCCAACCACCCACCCAATCTCGCCCCTCCCCCCACCTTAATCTTGGTATCCCCAGATAACGATTGTTTGTGGGATATACAACTACCTGTAAGGTATCGTGTGACTGCATACTACAAGCTAGTATCATATTCAGTTTAATACATATATATGACTTGAAATATGTATTTTCTTGCCAGCCATTTTCAATCATAAAATTATCCATGTTGCTGTTAAATTATGATTGGCCTAAATTTTTTGGCTAAAGATTGTTTTAATTTATAAACATTGTACTACTACTTTAGGAAGGATTTCAGGCCTTGCTATGAAAGGATTGGTATGTCGGGAAGTTTGTTTCTTCATCAACTCAGAGAAAGAAGTTGCATCAACTCAGAGAAAGAAATTTCATCAACTCAGAGAAAGAAAGAAATTACATGAACAAAATAAACAATTTTGTGTCATTGATATAAATAATGATTTATTCTTACAATTTCCTCTATGAAAATTTGGTGTGTTAATAAAGATACTGTAAAAAATAAATAACAGCTTTATGCTGCATCCATGCTGTGCTTTAATATTGCAGTGGTGTAGGAAATGGAGGTGTGTGGGTACCAGTGTGTTTGTGTGTGGAGGCCGGATGCTCCAGGAGTTCCCCGACAAGGAATATCAGGTTCCCCGACAAGGAATATCAGGTTCCCAACAGGGGGCTATAATCTTTCAAACAGTAAAATTATTGTTTTGTATGTTCAACTTATCACTCACACATGAAAATGTTGAATTTTTTGGCTATCATGAAATTGTGCAGAATTTATTGTCTGTAACAGTGCATTTACCAGCACTACAAAACAAGGTCATTACAAAACATAATTTTTCCCAGTACATTCCACTTCCCTGATTGGGGAGGGGCTAGAATTTCAACATAGGGGAGCTACAGCCCCCCCCCCCATACCGGATCCTTGCACTGCCTCTGCCTTGCCCAATTTCTCTTCAAAAGTTTACAAATTATAAATTTGGTGCTGTTGACATGAAGTGCTCCTCAATTTTAAATTTCAAAACTTTCCTCCTGTGCCTATGGTGACTAATTAATCCTTGAAATCTAGCACTATAATTTATAAAAATTGTCCACTGCATGTAAGAGATTCAAAAGTTAGTTTCCCAGATGTTGACACATTACTTAATACTGAATGTATGTATACAGCATAAAATTAGGAGGCTCATCACCAGTGTAGCAAAGTTGCAGTATTACTATTAACAATATAATTTGTCAACTGTAAAAAAAACATTGATAGCCTATAAATTTTGCTATACAGGGTGTATCAAAAAAAACTGAACAGATTTAAAATTGCTCTCAATTTCGCAAAACAGCTATTTGTAGTACTTCTTTGGGTACTTACAATGTAAAATAATGAAAAAAATTTCTCGAACTTAAATTTTGTGAACCAGGGGGGGGTGTCTTTTCCAACAAACTAAAAATGGCTCGCGCACAAAATTTAAAAGATGCAATCATATTTTGAGTTAACAGATGAAAAATTTGTCGGGATTTTAATTACTGTACAAAATTTCAGACAATTTTGTTTAGTTTAAGCCCCTTAACTATTCACGCAAAGTTACAATTTTCCCGAAAAATCAGCTATTTGCATGCTTAATTAATGCATTTGCCTAATTTGCATATGTCAGCAATATGCAAATTAGGTAAAGGCATTAATTAATTAAGCATGCGAAAGGCTGACTTTTTAGAACAAAATGAATAGTTAAAGGGCTTAAACTAAACCAAATTGTCTGAAATTTTGTACAGTAATTAAAAACCCGACAGATTTTCAATCTGTTAACTCAAAATATGATTACAGCTTTTAAATTTTGTGCGCGAGCCATTTTTAGTTTGTTGGAAAAGACACACCCCCCTGGTTTACAAAATTTGAGATCGAGAAATTTTTTTCAATATTTTACATTATAAGTACCCAAAGAAGCTATATACATAAAAAACCAGACACAAATAGGTATTTTGCAAAATTGAGAGCAACTTTCAAATCTGTTCAGTTTTTTTTGATACACCCGGTATATTGCATGAAATTTAAGGCAAAACAAGGTGGAAGAACTAACATTTCCAGCTATTATATTAATCACTTTGTCATTATTAAATAGTATTAAAATACAATATGTCATTATTAAATACATTTAATATAAAATACAATATTTTTACATAAATTAAGAGCCTTTGATGAAATTGATATAAAATCAATAAAGTATGTCTATTAAATATAGTATATTATATTTTATAGTATACTATATTTAATATAATATTATGTATGGCATGGACCCCTCTTGCATTGAACAACCACACAGACACTCATTCACGATCAGGATTTTCTCATTTGTAATTGAAAGATGCAAGACATCACTCACAATTTTTGTAGATTTGTACAATTAACGGTACAGTCTTTCTCGCATAGCCTTTCGCCTTTCTTTGTTTATACTCTGTATATAATTAAATCTCGTATATACAGTACTGTACGGGCTAATAATATAGGTATCCGTTTTATTTTGTATATTTTACAAACACAAGACTGCTTCTTGCCAAAATTGAGAAAATATATATTAATGTACTTGTGTATAAGACAAAATTTCATGAAAGATTCTACTTTTGGTATATATTTTGACTCATTTTGTTCTTTCGCTACACCTTGTCAACATATTAAATAATAGTGTTGCTTCGAACTTTATGATAAAAAACCAATTTTCTAGACGCGCATACAAATAAAAATAGTAAGTTTATACTATAAATGAGTTTATTTTACCTGTATCGGTTTAAATTCGCCGTTAAGTTGCAAATAATTCTGTTTGAGAGCGCAATAATTGGGCATTTCGCAACCAGGGCAGTTTCAGGGCAGTTTTGGCCTTGTTGTTGGGAAATCATTCTCGTACCCAGAGCCCTTCTTACGCGCGTTCGACTGAGCCCGACGAGGGGCTCTGGCCAAATCCATATCAAACTGGCTTCTGATTGGCCACAACGAAATATATGGTTTATTATAGTAAATATGAATAAAAATACACAAGCGCTCCACGAAGCGTTGGTTTCCCTTTGAAAATTGGGAGAAAAGACATTATTAAAGTTGAAAGAACAGCAGTACGAAGCAGTTAGGAAGATTGTTGTTGATAATCGCCCACAAAAGCGGTAGATGTCGCTAATTTTATTTATTTAAATCAATTGGTTGATTGAAATTAATAGGTTGAGACGTGATGTTCTCATAGCAAAAAGTCAGCATATTTATGGCAGATGCTCGTCGTATTTCCAAATCAGTGATGTTAATCAAACAAATCTGTGTTACATGTTCAAAGCTGAAGTGCCATCTGAAGAGAAAATATTAAAGCCAGCCAGAATATGAAGTTAATTGTGATGACTATTTTCTTCCTAGAAACCGATTTTTTACAATTTTCAAATGCTTTGCAGTATAGTATGTCTTATGTATAACTGTTGACTTTTAATAAAACACAAAAAAGTCTAAAAATCTGTACAACAGCGACTTAAAATCGAATATAAAATAGTGAGACAATCTCTCGTCTTCGTATCCGTAGCCATTACTGCTTTGGCAACGTTTAAGAGGGAAATATATACTACATTTTTATCAACATGCATTGAGAACATCACGTCTTACCTCCTAATTGATTTAAAATAAAATTAGCGAAACCTACCGCTTTTGTGGGGTTTTCCTGGAGAAAAACTTTCAAAACGAAACAAACAAGAAAGCCAAACTGTTTATCCGCGTTTGACGTTGAGCATGCGCAGTGTTTAACCGGATACCATGTTTTTATGGTATCCGGTTATGGATTTGGCCAGAGCCCCTCGTCGTGCTCCGTTGACCGCGCGTAAGAAGGGCTCTGGGTACGAGAATGTTGGGAAATCAACTAGGCCTTCTAG